TTGATTGCTAGAGGGTACACACCACATACCTGAAAGGCAAAAGGAGTCAATAAATAAACAGAAATAAATAAGAAGCAATTTGTAGCCAATCTTTTTATTTTTATTCACGTGTGTGTGTGCGTGTGTGTTTGTTTTGATTACTGTTTGTTTGCGTGTCTTTTAATTAACGGCGTCACTTGTTTATTACTTTTTGTGATTTGCGTTTGATTCATCATTTTGTTTATTGTGGTTTTTGAGGGCGAATTGTTACGACACGTGCTTATCATATTACGGAGTGCACATTATAAGGAAAGGGTGTCCCCTTTTTCGCAGTTGTGTACGCAACGGGTGAGAGGAGAGAGAGAGAGAGAGAAAGAAAGATAAAACATTACGGGCACCAAAGAGTGTCATTTGAGGAGGACCAACGCAAACAATAAGAGAGAAGAAGGGAGGAGGGTTTGGCCGCACCTGTTCGTTTAATTTTTTTCTGTTTGTTTGTGTGTGTGTGTGTGTGTGTGTGGCCGATTGATATTTGTTTAAATTGGCACACGTCACGTTGCTGCTTTACACGGCGGGTTGAGGAGGAGATATGCCGCCTAAAGGACCAAAGGCTGCACCGAAGGCGGCCGCGCGCAAGGGCCCCCCTGCCGCGATGCTTGCGAAGCTGAAGCAGCACATGGAGCGGCAAAAGGAGGAGGAGGAACGACGGTTAAGGGAGGCCGAAGAGGAGGAGCGGCGGTTGCGCGAGGAGGAGCGACTTGCGGAGGAGCAGCGCAAGTTTGAGTTGGCAGAGCGTGCCAAGGAGAAGCAGCGCCGCAAGGAGGAGGAGCGGCAACTTCGCAAGGATGCAAAAAAGGACGTGAGGAATGGGGCGCTGGAGCGCATGGCGGCGGCAGGTTTTATCCTCCCGGATGTCGACAAGATACGCGAGGAACAGCAGCATGTGCGTGACAAACCGCGGCATAAACCGGAGCCAAAGCCGCGAGAAAAGACGCAGGTGGCGCACCCGAAACAGGTCGAGATGGCGGCAGCGCCCCCAGAAGAAGAGGAGGGGGAGGAGGAGGAAGAGAGCGAGGATGATGGCGAGTTGACGGTGGCAACGGACTCCGAAGATGAGGTCGATGAGGACGACTGGGAGGCGCTGATGGAGCGCGATGACCGCCGCGCCGCACGTCACCTGGAAAACGAACGCATTCGTGCCGCGCGCGTGGAACGCGTTGAGCAGCGGCGCAAAGAGAATGAAGAACGTGCCCGTCTACGTGCCGAGGCGGAAGCAGCGGAACGTGCAAAGCAACATGTACTCGAGAGTGTTGCAAGCCTTCGCTCTCCCATATGCTGCGTTCTCGGCCATGTGGATACGGGCAAAACAAGTCTGTTGGATCGTATTCGCTCCACAAATGTGCAGGGCGGTGAGGCGGGTGGTATAACGCAGCAGATTGGTGCAACATTTTTTCCACGTGAGGCCCTTGTTGGTGCCACAGCGGATATTAATAAGAAATATCGCTACAATTTGAATGTACCAGGATTATTGGTGATTGATACACCCGGTCACGAGTCCTTTACAAATCTGCGAAGCCGCGGCAGCAGCCTTTGTGACATTGCAATCCTTGTTGTGGATATCATGCATGGTCTGGAGCCACAAACGCGCGAGTCCATTCGCCTGTTACGGCAGAAAAAGTGCCCTTTTATCATTGCACTGAACAAGGTGGATCGGCTATATGCTTGGGCAGCAAACGAAAATATGGATATTGAGCAAACACTCTCAAAGCAGAAGGATAATGTTTGCAGTGAGTTTGACTCACGTGTGAATCAGATCAAGCAGGAGTTGATGGCGGAGGGTTTTAACTCGGAGTTGTACTACAAGAACAAGGATATGCGAAAGGTGGTTTCTATCGTTCCTACCTCGGCAAAAACCGGTGAGGGCATCTCAGATCTCCTTCTGTTGGAGATTCAACTTGTACAACAGTTTATGGAGGGCAAGGTGACGTACAAGGATGACCTTCAATGCACCATACTTGAGGTGAAGCCCATCACAGGATACGGTGTGACGGTGGATGCCATCCTTATCAATGGTGAGTTGCATGAAGGGGACACAATTTGTCTGTGTGGTCAAAATGGTCCTATTTTCACGCAGATTCGAGCTCTTCTTACACCACAGCCGCTTAAGGAGCTGCGTGTGCGTGGTGACTACATCCATCACAAGCAAATGAAGGCGGCGATGGGTATTAAGATTGCTGCCAATGACTTGGAGTTTGTTATCCCAGGCACCCCATTGCTTGTTGTGCATAATGGCGACGATAAGGAAAAAATTGCACATGAAGTCATGAGGGAGGCTAACAGTATTTCTGATCAATTAAGTTCGGATGGTGTTGGCGTGACGGTGCAGAGCTCCACTCTTGGTTCGCTTGAGGCGCTTTTGGCATATTTGAAGGACATGAAAATCCCTGTTGCGAGTGCCTCTATCGGTCCGTTGCACAAACGTCACATGATTCAACTGCTCTCCATGAAGCGAAAGGCGCCGCGCTACGCGGTGGTATTGGCCTTCGATGTGCAGGTTTCCGAAGATGCACGCGACATTGCAAAGAAAAACGACATTGATATCTTCGAGGCTAAAATTATTTACCACCTTTTTGACATGTTTACCCGGTACGTTGCTGAATACGAAAACCGTGAGAAGGAACGGGCACGCGCCATTGCCGTTTTCCCAGTGCAGCTGGCAATCATTGACGAGGCCATTCATAAGTCTGACCCGATCATTCTCCCAGTGAAGATTGAGCGCGGGCAGCTTCACCCCGGCACTCCCCTCGCGATCATGAGGGGTGATACGCCGCTACTGCTTGGCCGTGTCATGTCCATCGAACGCGACAACAAGAACATCCCCGTTGCCCGTATGGGGAACGAGTGCGCCGTGAAGATCAACTCGGGAGAGACAGGCGTTGTGTACGATCGCCAGTTCACCAAGTCAGACTCGGTGTTCTCGCTCATCACGCGGCCTTCCGTGGATGCGATCAAGAAATTCAAGGATGAACTCTCAGAGGATGACATTAACCTCCTGGCGACACTTATAAAGGTATTAAAGGTCCCACCGCGGTAAAAACGTGCGCGCAGAGAATGAGCTTCACATCTGCCTGCTAAAAGCGACTTCTTCATTTTTTTTTTCTTTTTTTTTTAAATTTACTTTGAATTGTAAAAGGGGAGGGGAAAGACACGAATAAAAGGGAAAGAAAACAGCAGAAAAAAAAGAAGAAAAAAGAAGGATGGATAAATAAAAAAAATAAATATATGTTTCAATGCGACTGTAAATGCCGGTGAGGAGGAAAATGAAGGCGGTTGGTGTGGACGGTGTGAGGGGGGAAACACGGAGGGCGAATGAAAGGAATGATGAGTAGAGCAGGAATGGCGCGTGTATTTGACTGCTAACGGGGGGGAAACAAAGACGGGGTATGTAGTGAAGGAAATGAAGAAAAAATAACAAATAAATAAACCAACAGCCCCCCCAGAAAAAGAAAAAAAAAGTGAGTTTTGGATGAACAGAGGAGAAAAACAACAACAACAACACAGAGAGACACAAGTGCAAATGACGTGTTGCCGCAATGGCCTGTTACGCTTCTTCTGGGAGGGGCAAAGGAGAGAAGGAAAACAATCTGTCGGGCTCATTCCGGTGGTGCCACTTTGTGTGTCGCCAATCGTTGTGTGTGTGTGTATATATACTCGCTGTGGGATTTGAAGGGGATGATCATTTTTGGACTTTAAATGGAAGTGTTGCGGCTTTTTAACAGTTTTCAACCGTTGGCTTGGGCGGATATATATTGCCGCACAACAAAGCCCTTCACCCCCTCCGCCTTCTTGTTGTTTCTTGTGTTTTTTTTCTTTTTTTTTTTTTTTTTTTTGTGTGTGTGTGTGTGTGTGTGTCTCTCTCTCTTTCTTTTTTTTTTTTTTTGTTTGTATGGATGCACGCATGTCCAAAGGTACATTTATGTTTCTTTTCTTATCTTTGAACTGTACTAGTGTGAGGGTGCACCCCCACCACCAGCACGAGAGGGCAAGTATTACAATAAGCGAGGAAGGCCGATAGTTGGAGCAAGAGGCTTTTATTATTTATACAACATACCTGGACTGTTAGGGAGGGAGAAACATTGGAAGGAACATCTTAAAACGATGCAGGAAGATCGCACTTGGGCTCTTGAAGAGAAGGCTTGGAAACAAATTAAGCACCATGCGGTAGAGACGACGGAACGAGCGGAGAAGCGTTTAGCAGATCTGCGTGAGTTGCACGCGGCTGTGAAGGATCATCTCTTGTTGCTGAATGTGCGAGAGGAGGAAACGATCAGTCGTCTTCACGGGGAGTCCAAAACACTTGTGCGGCAGATCCAAGAGCGTGAAGAGGATCTTATCAAGATGCTGCGAGACGACTGTGCCCTTCAACGTACCCAGATCGAGAAGCTGCAGGAGAGCATTGAGACTCAGAAGAAACTGCTGGAGACGCATAAGTCACAGTTGGAAGAACACAAGCGTGATGTCATTGAACGTGCCGAGGCTCAACGACAAGTGACGGAACTTCTCAGACAGTCTGCCTTTTTTGAGGTGCCTGAACTGCATTGTTACAATGTTAAATCGGCAGCTATTGTCACTGATCGGCACTTAACTCTTTTGCGAGACGTGGCATCTTTTTTTTTCCCCTCTGCACTTACAATACCTATTGCAGACAATTCTATTTACCTTCCGTTGGGGAGAATAAAAGAGAAATGCGAGTCCGTGGTGCAGGAAAATGCATCTATGATATTGCACGATGGCATTCTCCACTACATTGCTACTACGGGTGGCAAAAAGCCCTTTTCTAACCCGGTGGAAAGTGATGCCGTGCGCATTTACTGCGACGCTCCGGTTGTGCTTGGAGAACTTTCATCTCTTTGCAATGCTGTTGACGCGACTCGCACCACGGCTGCTGTACTGCAGCAGACGCAATGTTTCCGCACAGCTTCACAGAAGGGTGCTCGAATAGAAATTGATTTTGGCGACAGACGGTGGGTAGAATGCTCAGCTTATGCACTCCGTCATGGACATGCGACGGAGCACGCAGCACTACGCTCATGGCGCTTGCTTGGGAGTCGTGACAGAGTGCGATGGGTTGTGTTGGATGAGCAGAGACGTAATAATATGCTTGGGAGGTCACCTTTTAACGTAGCATCTTTCACCATTGACGAAGAGCGGGTCTATTCTCAGGTAAAGACTACATGGCATTCTGCTTCTGCTTTGGGATGTGCATTTCGATACATTGCACTAGAGCTTGCGGGTCCGGATGCTGTTGGCAAGTATCACCTGGAGCTTGGGGGGATGGAGCTTTACGGATATCTGGTGAATACCCTTTCTCTATGATAACAGGTGGTGCAAAAATTTGGCTTTAGTTATATATATATACATATATATATTATTTTTTTGTGTTTTTTCTTCTTGTTGTTTTGAATGTATTTGTTTTTTTTCTTTTTTTCTTTTACTTGTATCGTTATCAATAAGATGGCCCGAAGTGCAGAGGCATGACGCATTAAATGCAATGAGAAAGCTGTATCGTGTTTGTAGGCCAGCACCCCTCACTTTCACTGTTTATATTCTTATCTTTGAGTTTTTGGATCCATTGGGCATTCTTTACTCTTTAATTTGTTTCTGCGTTTTGATCTTTTGGGTGCTTTGATCGTTCGGCCTCTCTTCTGATTGTTCTTCAGGTGACGCAGCGCACACACACACACAAAGGGTGAGAAAGAGTGAGGAATATGTCCTGGCAGGGGCCGATGTTGCGGTCCCCGCACTTCACGTACGACGCCTTGCCGTCTCGTTCGCGATTGACGCCCGCGGCGGTGTCCGTCTACAACGAGGTGGCGATTGCCGATCGTGTCGTTCGGGCATGTGCATGGACGGACAACTCCGCTGACTTTGTCTTTGGAGACGGCACGGTGCTCTCCTTTTGTGACGAAATGCAAACATATGTCGCCTTCCCTCGCGTGTTGCACGCACCTTTGAATTCACAGGCTGCATTGGGTAGCAGTGGTCATTCTAAGAGCTTCAACGAGGGTGACATTTACGATGCGGAGAGTAAGAGCCAGGGGGAATACTTCTTCACACCCCTCACGCTTTCCAAATACGAGAATAAAGTTCGGGAGGCTTTGCACATTTACAACTTTTACTCGCCGCGGCCACGCATTGTCACAGGCCTCACGGCAACACCGTGTGAAGTGTGGCGCCAGAACAGCCCGATTGACTCACTTGTCATTGCAGCAGATCGACGCCTTTTTGAGCGTCATGGATCTCGAGCGACTCTATGGTGTGCGCTCCGTCGCATTTCACTAACATTACATGGTGGCCGTGCAACATTTTCAGTGCGTTGGCCCGCACCGGCAGTGGAACGGAACATGGCGCGTTCCATTTTTGTTCGTCCTGTTGATGAACATGGTGTTTTTACAGGAATGCTTGAAAGTGTGCGGTCATTTCATTTTGTGTGGGTGGAACAAACATTTCCCGTGATGGACCCGCCGGAAGCGTGGGCAGAAATGTTGGAGACTGCTCTGCAACTTGACGCGGATGCTCCGGCCGGCAGTGTGGGGGAGGGAAAGGAGGATGGGGCATCTTGTAGAGGCGAGAGCGATGTAGAGGAGTGCTGCTTAGTATACCGCACGACACCATGCACCGCGCAAGATCGGCAGCCGTGTCGCTTTTCAAAGATGGTGCGAGAGCACGTCGATTCGCTCATTGCTACCTCGCAGATGCAAAGCGCGGCATGCAATCGTCTCATACGAGATCCCTGTGAGCGTGTGGCGTGGCGCTACGACGCGGATCCGACAGGTCGTGTGCCACACGCCGTGTATTGGGGCCTTTTCGCACGGAGTTCCAGCACAGCCATAGCACAAACTCTTGCCGTCGGCAAATGTGGAATGGGCGGAACACGAGGGGGAGGTTGGGTGCCACATCCTGCAATTGGCACTGTGCTCGCCATGGTGCGGGAGGACGAGAGTTTGGTTGTTGCCGAGCCACAGAGTCAGAGTTACGTTATCCATCATTGGCGCCGCGATGGAACATATCATCAATACCACCAGAGCCCAGATGGAGAACTCGGTCTTCCACCAGTTATTCCACTGCATTGTAAAAGAGGTACTGGGAATGAAGTTGGTGAGGAACCTATTGGAATGGTCTGGGGGCAAGATGGACAGAATAAAAATAATAGCCACGACGAATCCTCGTTATCCATGATGGCGAGTGAGGAGGCGGATGGTATGATTACTTCGAAAATTGCTACCCCGCCACTGTACTTTAGTGGAACTCTTGAAGAAGCGCCATTATCTGCTCTTCATCGCGGTCGTTACCTTCCTGATGTGGGTGCCTCATGTATTCAGCTCTCACAGTTGAATCTTGCGTCTCTACGAGCGCATAAGCAAGAAATGCTTGGTGGCATCGCCTCTGCGACTGCGGGTGCTTACGCCACGGGGACAACGGGCTTTACGACGGGGGAACCCACCTTCGCTGCAAAAGGAGGGGTGGCGGAAGCCGCACAAAGTGAATTGCAGCGAATTCAGATGCGTTTTGTGTCCAATGATCCCGCTCTTGCCGAAGCCGCGGCGAAGGGAAACGTGGTCTTCCTGACAAGTTCCATAGAGGCAGTTGGAACCTTTGTGGCGCTGACAAATGGCACCATCCGCTGTCATTTTGACGACCGCACGATTCTTTTTCTTGTCCCGGGTGCGGATGATAGAGAGGAAAATTTGGTGGCTACTTGCCTTTTCCGTGACGCCACGCAGTGTTCAATGCGGCTAGTGAAGTGTGCTCAACACCATCGAATGTATCGCTATGTAGCTCACGCGCTACAGTTCCGCCGCTTTTCTCGTCTTTCTCCAGAGGCACGCACGGCTGTAATGAATGAAACAGCTGCATTGAAGTTGCAGTATCTTGATGAGACGGAATGGCAAAGAGAGAGAAAAATGGAGTGGGAACTGCAACAACTGCTCAGTAGAACAGAAGCTCTCCTTTCGGGTAACGATGAACTGAGTCGGTTGAATCACTCGCTGCTCCGCGAGGAGAAGGAAAATGCCTCGTCCTACTTTTCATGAAGCAACCGTGGCATTTGTTTTTTTTTTGTTCTTGTTGTTCTTGTCGCCGCATAGAAGGAATAAACGTTTCATATCACTTTCTTTTGTTTATTTTTTATTTGTGAGTTGCGCGTGTGTATTTGGAGGGGAAGGCGAAGGCGAAGGCGAGGGTTTATTGTTGTGTTATATTTAACAAGAACGGCGCGAAAACAATTCTACAAATGTCGGATTGTTTCTCTTGGTTATAGAATTACAATAACGTAGAAGTTAAGTGCCACACCGATGCCTGCGGGTGTGGTGAGAAGTATACATACACACATGCATACATACATGTATATTCATACACATACCTCTGCTCTTCCATTGTTGTTTCATTGGTTGCTTCCATATGGATTTAATTATTTAATGGTATTTGTAATGTGACAAGCGTCTTTTCCCCCCCTTTTTTTTTTCTTTTCTGGCTCATGTGGAGGGTTTCCCTTTTATTTTTCTGTCCAGGTCTTGTTGCTGTTTTTTTTTTTCTTCTTGTTGTCGTTTGTTTCTTGTGGCGCCCCCCCTCCCCCCACTGCGATTGCACAACGAATGGGGCGGGCCGGCGAAGGAGTTAAAAGTTGAGTGGAATTCACAACAGGGAGTTTGGCAAAAAGAAAGGAGGAAGAAAGGAGGCCCAATACACACACAAAGAAAAAGACAAACACACCCTGCCGCTCTACCGTGGCGCCTGAGAATGAGACAGGGACAGGGACGACAAGTACTCACACCCTCTTTACCCGTCTCACAGGAAGTGCAACTGACAGAAGAAGATGAACAGGACCGTCGTTGGATCGTGGACTCCGAATCGAGGAGCAGTCTGCTGTTTCTAAGCGTCTCCAGTACGACAACACCTCATAGCCGACGAAATATTTCCTTTTTAACAAGTCATGTTGACAATTTTGACGAGTTACCTGTTTCTCACACGCGGAAAATATCTGTCACTCTCCCATTGCCGCAAATTGTTTCTGGCCACGTGAGTGAATTGCGGACGGCCAGTGTAGACCCCGAGGTGGCGATGCCAGCTTTAGTTGACAAGATGTCAATTACAGCAAAGCATGAGCCCCCTATTTATAATATCCGTACGGTTGTACGCAAAGAAAACCACCCGTTATGGTCACCCTCCACACTGACACAATTGGAATACTTGTTTGGACTTCAGAAATTGGGACATTCAAGTCTTCCTAAGGACGTTCAAATGGCCTGTTCCGGAGAATTGGGATTACCAAGAATAATGGAGCGACCTTTATTATTGTCAGAGGGAGAGTCGCATGGAAGCTGCTCTAAAATAACGAGTATCGGTGTAGGGGAGCAGCAGCAGGATTCTGGATCGTTGAGAACGTCGTCCAACGAATACTTGGCAATAAGGGATCGAACAGACCCTTTAGGAAGAGAGCAGCTTTGGGCTGTATGTCATTCCTCATTTGAGTTGCAAACAGGGCTTCAGGGATTGGGGCCGCGCGAGGTCGCCAGCCTTATTCCAATGTTGCTGCGTGATGAATCTGTCTGTCGTCAAGTAATTGTGGAGAAGGAGCGTCACGAGGCGCTTCTTACTCTTGCCATGCCTCCACACGCGACGTTTAACTGGATCCATCCAGCACTAGTAGCCGGTATTGAGGAAATAACTATCATGGAGGAAATCCGTCGGAAATATATTTTGGAGGAGGAATCCAACCAAATTGCTCCAATATGGGATTTCTATGTCTTTGAACACCGATGCTTGGTTGTTGGGACAAAAAAACTCACCTGTTTCTTGCGGCGGTGGATTTTAACTTACAGGGGGCGCAAGATGCGACAATTGGAACAACTGAACAGTTTATGGAGGCGGGAGGAGAAATCCCGGTTGGAGATTATCCAAACATGGCTGGAAGCCCAGAAGAGGCTTTTTACTCGCTTGGTTATTGCCACAGAGTCCCAGTTCCGTGTTGTCATTGAAGAACTGCAACTACACGCGCAGTATGCCCACGGTCTTATAAGTATCTCTTTGAAGGCGCAAACAGAACTATTTTTCCACCTGTACGGTGCAGTGATGCCAAGAGCTATCGCCTGCGGGAGAATCTCAGGTTGTACCCGATTTAAGTTACTTGATTTAAATGATCAGCACGGACGCGGCTGTTTGAGCAGTTGGGAAGAAAAAGGACGTCTTGCCATATCTTGTATGATGCAGCGGGAGGCTTTGGAGAAGTTTTTGGAAGGTCCCAAGCGTCAACAAATCGTGGAGGAGGAGTTGGTTGCGCGTGGGAGGCTTACATGTATTTTATTTGCTATGCTAGAGCGCTGTCACCGACGTGAAATTGAAATTGTGGAGGCCTGTGAGTGTCAGTTAGATGTACTTCCCCACTTCAATGCTCCGTTGGCATTGGGTGAGCAGCAAAATGAGGAAAAGCAGGCAGTTCTGTACCTAACGTCGGTGCAGGGGTGCCCTTCGTAGGGAGGAGGAAGGCCAAGTGGAGTTGAGAGAAAATAAGAATGAGGACGGAAAGAAAAAGGAAAAAGAAAAGGAACTGAAAGCTGGAACACCACCCTTCATGACTTTTCTCGTGTTGCTGTACACCACTGCGACGCATTCTTTTTTCCCACTTCCATGTGATGTAACGTCTTTTTTATTTTTTATATTATTTTATTTTATTTTTTTGTAAATTGCTGGCAAAGATGGCTGTGGGTTGTGGAAATATTGTGACATTACTTTTACTTCAAATTTTTTTTTTTTTTTCTTGCTTTACAGGTGTGTGAGGAATCGTTTCTTTTTTTATTGTTGTTTTGTTGTTGCGTGTGTGTGTGTGTCTGTTTGTCTGTCTTAGAACCTTTTCAAATGTCCATCGGTGCCAGTGCGATGCGTCTTATTATGCGTCAAATTCAAGACATTGAGGCGAACCCCACGGATGGTGTGCAAATTCACAGGTCCGACAACCTGAGCGAGTTGCTCTTTGACCTCACAGGGCCAGAAGGGACCCCGTTTAGCGGTGGCATCTTTCACGTTGTGCTGTACTTCGAGGAGGGATACCCGGAGATACCGCCGCGTGGGGTCTTCCGAACGAAAATTTTTCACCCCAATGTGGCAGAAAAGGGAGACATTTGCGTCAATGTCCTTAAGCAAGACTGGAAGCCGAGTCTTGGGTTGCGTCATGTGCTTACGGTTATTCGCTGCCTCTTGATTGAGCCAAATGCGGAGAGTGCGCTGAACGAGGAGGCAGCCCGGCTTCTTCTTGAGGATTATGATGCCTACAGACGGAAGGCGGAAATGATGACTAAAATACACGCCATGAAGGGCACCAGAGCACCACACGATGTACCGCCGCCATTTCTCTCAGACGACGGTCGAGAAAATGGCCAGCTGCTTAGTAGAGGGACCGCAAATGTCGGAAGTGCCAGTTTGCCTGCGTCAGAAGGCTTTGTGAGCTCCCAACTCCGTAACGCATCGGAATCGGCGTTAAACAAACGGAGCGCTGTGGGCGGAACTTCCACGAATGTTGTTGCTTCCAAAAAGGCGGTGGAAAAGAAGCGTGCCGCTCTGAAGCGTATTTGAGAGTCATGAACGCATCTATTTATCTACATATAAATATATAAATAAATTAGAAAATGTTGTACCGTCTCTCTCTTTCTCTCTTTCTGTGGTTTGTTCATTTTTTTTTTTTTTTTTGTCTTTGTTTTTTTATGACGCATATGAGGAGGAGGGGAAGAGAAAAAAAAGAAAAAGAAAAACTTTTTTTTTTTTTTTTCTTTTAAAGGGCTGGGGGTTTTTTTTTTTTTTTTTTTTGTCTGAGGTATAATTTGGATGCATTGCGCTCCGATACAGAGAAGCAAAAAGAAAAAGAAAAGGGAAGGAGAAAAGACAGAAAAGGGGTTTTTTTTTTTTTTTTTTTTTGGGTTGGGGCCATTGAAGGGATTCTTGTATCCTGCAATTT